GGTGGAATTTCTTAACAGTAAGTCAAAATAATTACATATAACTGTGACCAACTGATTTCTTAATTACAAAAAGTTAGTTTTGTTCACTGAAATTTCTTAGGTTTTCAGATAGAATATAAAATTGTATATCAGAAGATAATGATTTAATTACACTTTCCCAATATTTCTAGGCTTTATTTTATTTGTATATTATTAAATTTATTTAAAATGCTACTAATATTTGACAATTAAAAATTACATGTTGATATAATAAATAAATTTCATTGTTAATTTTTTTGACACAATAATTTTGTGAATTAATATATATCCTAATATTTATCCAGCTGCATTCATATGGATGGATTATATGCTCCTTGTTCCCATTACAAGTCTGTTAGCATGTTAAATTATCCTTCCTATATATTACCAAATATAATATTGTTACTAAATATATATCATGATTTACTAATAATGATTTTTAAAATATAAAATTATCAGACAATGATAATTTTCATTGCAATATAATTAAAAGAATCATTTTCTAGGTAATATTTTCTTATTTCATTTGAAATAAGATCAATAAAGACATTGCTTCATATATTATAATCATCTGGAACTTGAAAGTCTGGGATTCTTGTCAAGGCTTCCTTTGTTCTCCCAATACATACACATCTCTTTCTCCCTTCAAAATTTAAGAGGGACCTGAAAACAGTGATGCAAGTAATTCTTATTACCTAGGGTACCAATTATTTAATTAATAATACAATACTAGAGAGTAAATGCACCATAAAATCATATAATATCATCTATGATGTTTTCATACTTCTGTGAAACTGAAAAAAAACAAATGATAAAACATTTTCATTTATATTTATATTGAATAGATTTAAACACCTGCAACAATAAAGATAAATTTTACATTTGTTTATAAACATATGAAATTTAACTTTAAAATTCTAACTTTAAGTAAAATAAAAATTTATGGGTTTTGTTTACCTTATTTACTTTCAGGGTAAGCAATTGAACTTCTGTGTTTAGGTAAGGAATTGATGACCTAGGTCAAATTCTTAGCATAATATTGCATTATTTTACATCATTTGTCCTTTGAATTGGTATGGAGTATTTGTAAAATCACCCGACTTTGTTTTTATACAAAAAGCAATGATCACTTGGGAATATTTAGCTTCAAACATATTCTGAGTTAAAGTCCAAGAAGTGTAAGGGTGGGGGGTTCAAGATGTTTTGGGGAATCCTATTATCTTTTAATTCTCTTTGTCCACAAAATTGTGAAGTCCCCTCACATATCTTGATAGGAGGAACAGGTAGTATACGGAACAGCATAGATTGAAAGGCTTCTTTGATTTGAAGGAATACTCACGTTGGCTGCGGATTCCCTTTAGCTTCACATTCTATTTGAAAATACTCATCGAAAGGAAAAGCAACTTGCACTGTTGACTGTTTTGTAATTGTTGGAACCTGTTGGACTAAATATTTAAACATATGCATTTATACAATATACTGATAAAAATCAGGCAATGTTACTTTCACTATGAGACGCAGACTTTAAAAGCAATGTCTGTACTGACAAGTAAAATGACCACTAGAGGAAGGAAAAACTAAAAAACAAATCATACCCTCTCTTTGTAATATTTATATAAGTCTAAGACTACATTTATCTGAATCATTTCAGGTTGCTATATAAGGTAGCTTTAAGTAAACCCAGAAAAACGTGATAATATTTCAGAAGAAAAATTGCCGATATCATACAAGCTTTAAATAATATTTTCAAAGTATGACCCTTGTGAATAGTCTTCCTAATGAATCCAATCATGTCCAACATTCTGCTTGTTATTGATCATTTTTATTATTCCTCTATTTTCATTATAATTAATTACTGATCTAATATTGTTTCTTCCTGTTGAAA